TTGAAGTTTCATTAATTTGTTAGTTTTAATTAAATAAATTAAATATTTTTAATTAATAATAATTATTATTAATAATTAATTATTAATTATTAATTATATTTAAATAATAAATCTAAACATATAGTCAGCCTATCATGGCATGGTGGCATGTTCTTCTTAAACAAAACAATGATAACTGTTAAGCGTTTATTTATTTTATACTTTTTAGATATAAGACAAAAAATAATTATTAATTAATAATTGTTATTTTTTTACTTTAAAAGTATAAAATTGATTTTTATTTTATTTATAAATAACATGTGATAATTTTTTATTAATTTATTTTAAATTAAAAAAGAAAAAAATTTTAATTTAATATTTTACATTATTTTTTAAAAAATACCATAATTATTATTTAACCGGCACAAGGAACCCAACTATTAATTAACAAGCCCCAGATAACGCCGTCAGAGACCAGTAGCAGGTAGCTTTTGCTCGGTTCATCGCTCATACTTCTCTTCCTTCACCATCCCTTACTCTCAATCCTCTTTCGAATAACAGAATGTTTTACCCTCTCGGAGGCACCTGGATCTCCACTTCTTCGCCAATCGCTTCTCTACAGATCACCGTCGATTCCTCCGCCTCCGATGAGATTCTCACCTTCTGCTTCCTCAAGAAGATCCTTGTGAGTCGTTGATCTGGATTCTGATTCACTATTCATTGATCTTGTCGGCGTTAAGTTTCCTTAGTGCTTTTTGGATGCTGGAGAGACGATGAAATTGATATACAAAATACAGCCGTTTGATGTTTTTTGTTTCCTTATTGTTTTTGGATTCTGAAGAGATGCTGAAATTGAGAAATGAACCAAACGCATTTGCCGTTTAATGCTGTTTGGCTTAATGTCAAACTTAACGAGTAGAATTTTCCTTGATTCTCTTGCTGAAGAATTGAACATTGAGGATTTTGTTTTGATTGAGAATTTAGGGATTTGGGATTTAGGGATTTTAATAACAGTTAAATGGTAGAAAGAAGTGAAGTTGTGTTTGTAGGTCTGGGTTAAAAGGGGTTTTGATTTTGGAATTTAGGGATTTTGGGATGTAGGGATTTTGGCAGGGGTTAAAGGGTAGAAGAAGAAGGAAGAAAACGCGAGCACAGATCTGGGTTGCTGGGGATGGTGACATGGTTGCTGGATGTAGGGATTTTGGAGTTTTGGCAAGGGTTAAAGCGTAGAAGAAGAAGGATGAAGACGCGAGTTTCAGCTAGGCACAGATTTGGGTTGCTGGGCATGGTGACATGGCTGCTGACATGGAATTTGCGGGTGACATAGAATTCGTAGGGTTCACAATCGAAATTCATGAAATAATAATAAATTAATGAATGGGTTGAGGACTGACGATAAAACAAATTCCGTTACATGACAGTTAGTAACGGTGTTAGCTAAGTGTCACGTGAGGAAGGTAACTAGTATGAAAATTGAACGCAGAGGGAGGACAGGAGTATGTTTTGGGAGAGTAAAGGGAGGTTTTTGAATGATTTCAAAGTACAGGGAGGACAATGAACAAAAAATAAAAGTAGAGGGACTATAGTTGGTTTAACCCAATAACTTATTCAGACTTACCAAAGAGTGCCTGGTCAAGGCTTTTGTTCTCAAGATACTCATAAACAAGGAGGCGTCTGTCTCCTTCGATGCAGCATCCGTACAATTTAACAAGGTTGCGATGTTGCACTGCAGATATGGTTGCAATCTCAGTAACAAATTGACTCTTCCCTTGGCGAGATGCTACTGCGAGCTGCTTCACAGCTACTTCCCGCCCATCAAAAAGTTTACCCTATAATATATTTAA